TTTGTCTTTTGTATTCCCATTTTGGTAATCTCAATTTTGTTGTTTTCCATGCCTTCAAACTCTATAATGTCTATGTCAGGTAACATTTTTTTTGAAGTTTTTCTCATCATCTTATAAACATTTATCCATTGAAAGCTGTATCCTTTCTGAGATATTAGTTATTAATATTTCAGTTCTTGTTTCAGAAAACTCTTTAAGATAAGAAAAAGTTATAGCTGGCTTAGCCAGTTTAACTCTTTTATGCCTGGTCCTTTAGTTCCCTCTAGTGTCCATTTGCAACCTTCATCAAGCCTCAGTTCCTAATATATGCCTGGTCCTTTAGTTCCCTCTAGTGTCCATTTGCAACCTTCATCAAGCCTCAGTTCCTAATATATGCCTGGTCCTTTAGTTCCCTCTAGTGTCCATTTGCAACCTTCATCAAGCCTCAGTTCCTAATAAGGATTTAGTTCTGTTTTAGTCATTTCCTACAAGTATATTATTTAATTATATATTTGTTTTTTAAATCTTACAGCAAAAATAAGCAATATTCCAAATCTCTCTGGTTTCCCAATCCATTTAAAACTTTCTTAAATAAAAAACCTTTTTTTTGCCTTTTTTGCCAATTGTATATTATTTTAAATACTTAAGTCTCTGTTTAAAATTTCTTAAATCCGAAGAAGGTAAAACTCACCAGGTGTCAAATTAAGCTCACCAATTTGAAGGTCTCTAATATCTATAAAGTGGTTAAATTGAACGTTTCTGAATGTGATTAGAAAGTGAGTTCGGCTGGCTTAGTGTCCTTATGAAAGGCTCCGCTGCTGCTGAGAGCTAAGATGTCGTCTTCCTCAGCTCCTGGCACTCAAACCTGCTGGAGACCACTGTTTTACAGTCTCCTTGAAAAGAGCTGCCATACAGAGCACTCAGGAGAAGTCCTGATCTCTTTTTCTCCAGAGAGATTCGAAGGACCGGTCTACTCGCCGGTCTTTCATTCTTCACAGTGGTCATCATCTCTGCTCATTCGTGGAGATGTCTTCAGTCAGCCATGACTCGTACTGGAAGCTCAAATACACTAGTACCGGAAGAATGGTTGGTCCTGACTTTTCTTTCATTCCTGAAGGTCTTGAAGATTATTTTATTTCTACAAGCTAATGTAAATTATTATTACATTTATGGGTAATATGTTATGATATTCTTGTTTTTGTTGTATATTCCTTGTTGTGCATTGCCCAGACATTTGTGACTGGGGGAGTATACAAACATTCAAAAATAAATAAGTAAAATAAAATAAACAAGACTGACCTTTTAAAAAAATAGGTGACGGGAACCATTGCTCAAATCCACCTTATGACACACAGTACATGTGGCAGATTCAAGTATTTTAAACAGTATCTATATCACTATATTATTTTAATTTTTAAAGAAGACTTTATGTAGCAAGAGTGTACATGACTTATTATGGCAAAAGATTACTTTATCAGCTGTATTTTTTTGAAGAAATTGTAGTAATTAAGTGCTATAGACTGCAAATCATTCCATGATAAAGCATTTGTTTGAAAGCTACACTTTGAGAAAAATATATACACTTAGCTGTGAACTTTTGTCAAAATTCTGCATAAATTTTATCCAGTAATACCAAGTTCTCCTAAAATAAATCCTGACTAAACAGATGAAGCAACAAGGGAGAGAAAAATAATTTATTCAAAAATCCAGGTGCACAGTCCTTTCTAATGTGATTGCACTGACAAGCAGAGGGACCTTCCCTAGTGTCAGAACATATTATGCAGAAATTCTTACATTAATTTGTCCAAACATAAAAAGTTTGCTGAGAATACATGAAGCATATCCAAAATCCCCATTCATTAGTCTCTGCTTTTAGGAGGTTTGTGATGAGTCAATGGCCACAAATCTCTACAGGTAGTCCTCACTTAACGACCACAATTGCAACCAGAATTTAGGTCGCTAAGTGATGCGGTCATTAAACAAATCACATGACTGGACCTGATTTTACAACCTCTTTTGCAGTGGCATTAAGCGAATCACCATGGTCAGTAAGTGAATCATACAGTCGTTAAGTGAATCATATGGTGTCCCATTGATTTTGTTTGCTGGAAGCAGGCTGGGAAGGTCACAAATGGCAATCATGTGACCCCAGGATGCTGCAACTGTCGTAAGTGTGAGCTGGTTGCCAAGCGCCTGGATTGCGATCATGTGACTGGGGGGGGCAATGCAATGGTCATAACTTCGGGCACTAGTCATAAGTCACTTTTTAGCACCATCATAACTTTGAACAGTTGCTAAATGAACGGTTGTTAAGTGAGGACTACCTGTAATAAACTTTTAAAACATCTTCTTTTACAGGGAATAATTACAACACTGTTTATTTCAGTCTTTTTATTTTGATATTTTATTTTATTTTTAAGTGGTATTGGCTCAGATAACAAGGAAAGTTAACAAATTTCATGAAGGAATTTTTTAAATTATTTTCTTTCATTGCAACCTCTTGGAATATCCGTGAACAGGATATTCAAGTTAACCTCACCATTTGCCACACTTCCTAGAGTTGTTAGTTTGGCAGTTTGCATTTTAAACAGTTATTACTTTCCTCTTATTTTCAATGGAAATGACATTCAATGAATTTAGCGTGGATCCATTCCTTAAAACAGCTGTAAGGTCCTGTGACCCTCCAGAGGTTAACTGATTTATACTTCAACATTTGGAGGACCACAGCATCCAGATATTTGTTTTAATACATAGATGACTGCACAGTAGAAACAAAAATTCAGACAAACCCTGGTTCAAACACACATAGACACTCCCTCTTAGGTCAATTACAAATATGTCAAAATAAGGTGACTTGATATTACTATTGTCTTGAATGAGAAAACAAGAAACTGTCAGGTCATTACAGATACTGGAAGCCAACCCATGGTCCTTGGAATCATCTTCCTACTCCCTCATAATTACCTACTGGTTTATTCAGATAATCTCTTAATCCTGTTTTATACAGAGATCTACAATCACTATTTACTTTGTTCTTTCTGGGAAAAAAGCAATTGATTACTAGCATCCTTTGCTTTGACAAATTTTGATGCAGGGTTGGAATGTTATACCCACTGAGATCCAAGTGATCTTGTTCAGCCTCCTCATGAATAATTCTATGAATTTAAAATATACTACAATACATAATGAATGAAAATCCATTGAAAGAATTTTATCCTTCCATATAATAGAAAGACAAGTGCTAGAACATTAATGCTTATAATTTAAATGTTTATTTAGGAAAGTTTATAATAGGAGAAATTTGAATTGCTAAGTGATGTGATTTAAATATACTGTATCTTGTTCATTATTATATTTGAAATTAATACTATTATAATTACCATTAGAAACTGCAAAAAAGAGCTTAATTTAAACCTTAGGATAAACTGTCAATATTATAACGCATTTGTATTATATATAATGATATCTGAACATTCCAGAAAATAATGCATCTTTTAAGAAAAAGGATAAAAATATTTTTTTTAAAAGTACAAAATTCTTTTTAAACAGCAAATGAATGAAAAACTAAATTAGTGTGAATGTAGCATTTCTTGTGAAGAACTTCATGAGTATAAACACATTTAGACACATGATTAGATTCTAAACATAATCAATTCTTCCCCAGATATATTAAGTTAAAAATTAACATTGTCAGTGGTGAATTAACAGATTATTTCCCAAATATGGGGATTAACATTCAATGTACCAAACAAATAAACTGCTCTAGTCTCTCTAAACAAAAAACAAAACAGAACCGTAGATCTTATTCTGATCCCCCCCCCTTTTTTTTGCTGCTTTATTTTGTGAGATTGGAGATTTTAGAAGACTAAAGAGAGAAAGGAACACCATTAGGGGGAAAAAATCTCTTCAGCATGCCAATCATTTCAAAAGATAAATTGTCACACATTCATAGCTGTAAGTCATAAGAAAGCTCCTATATGGGAATATTTTAAATATATTTATAGATAAAAAAGAAAAAAAAAGTTTGAAAAACATAAAATAGATTTTAAATATATTTATAGATAAAAAAAGAAAAGAAAACATGCTTGAAAAACCTGAAAGCAACTTTATAGGAGATAGCTCTGAGGAAAGTGTCAATACTGTGTAAGTGCTAAAACTGTTTTACTTCCTCCTTCAGTGTGTGTTCTAATAATGAGAGTGACACTTGCGTTATTAGTGTACTGCGCATTGCTTAGACCATGCAATCTATGAACTGTACATTTTAGCAATTACTGTTGTCTACGCTTGTTGCAGGTTTTCAACATTAAACCATTTTTATTTTAATGAAAAGATGAAAATGCATTATTTATTAATAAATGAGGCAACACAATACTTTAAAGAATTGGGTAGCCACTACTCAATTATTTTGTGCAGGAAATCAATATTAGTTACGTGACAATAGCCATTAACATTACCATCATATAGGAGTGGTTTATTTATTTATTTATTTAAAATAGAGTTGCTAATTCCATTTTTATTAGATTTAATAAGACATGACAAGCAAAGAGTCAAGTATCTAAGTAGCTGGTTGGACTCCCCAATCATTTTATTCATATCTATAGGCCTTGCTAATAGAAAATAGTTCAACAAAACTGAGTCAGACAATGCTTATGACTCTATAGAAATTGTGGAGTCCACATTATACAGACAAATACTAACTTATCACTGAAATGTCTTACAAATGCAACACAGTAATCTACATTCTCTCTCTTTCTCCTGGTGAGATTCAGAAGGCCCACATCTCTAAGTAAAACTCTGCTCTATGTGACTGACAGGTGTTATTTATTAGAAAATGTATATGTTATCCACTTATGCTAACAGTTCTAGGCAGCTTACAAGTACAGTAAAATCAACAGCCATCAATGATACTTTTATAAAACTATTACCCAAGATCTGGAGTGGAGAAAGGAGAAGCACCTGTACATGAAAGCAGAAATCCTATTAGAAAATTGCAAACAAGGTAGAAAGCTATACTTACTCACCTTTCCCGCAACCCTAATTTGAGGATATAGTTAGGGAAATTATTGAAATAAAATTCTGCATATTCATCACCTAAATTTGGAAAAATCAGTTTTTCTCATTCATATCTCCACAATTCTGCTATCTTCCTTACATCCAAACTTACATATAAAATTGCATTGAAAAGCCACTATTTCAATGGCTATTTCCTTCTGAAAAGTATTAGTACTTCTATTACAATCTGTAAATGCTTTAGAAAACTGCCTTTTCACTGTCAAAGGCCTGGTTTGAATACTATAGTAAGCCACCAATCCTGCTTAATAATCAGGATAAGCACAAGTGACACAAAGTCACACATGGCATTTCTGCAGTTATTTCACTACAGGCTCCACACAAGCAAGAAAACAACCCTGGAAGTCAGAGTTAATTGTAATTTCCTGTTAGTATCTATGGAAAGGTAAACTGACTTAAAACAGCAGCATGCAGATACTCTGCTTGTTGTCAGAACAGAGAATGACTGTGACTATAATCATTCACACTAGACTCTTTTTCCTTTCTCAGGACATACAAATGTAGTTCATTAGACTCTGGGTAGGTTTGTGCTGTTAATTTTATACACAGCACTTAGTTTAAAAATTATTTCTTAAAATGTGAAAAATTGCATGAAAACAGAAGAACAAATGAAAGCTTGAGCTTCAATATGAACTGAAGTTTAGGGTACTGCAATGAAAACATAATGTGCTAAGTGACATGTCCACAGTAATTTCTAACACACATTGAAAATAGCCTTGCTAAAATCCAGCATTCATTAATTTCAGTAGTTTCTACATAGTTATATTTCATGGAATTTTGTCTTGTTAACTTCAGGAAGGCACAAAGAAGAACACCATTACCATGGCTGTATGGTATGGTATCAAAATGTTTTTACTTCATACAGTATTTCCTTTCAGGAGGAAAAGGGAAGATTCTTGTTTGCTTAAAGCAACCTTAAACAGAAATGGATTGCAATAATATCCTTGCTATCTCTTTAATATGTAACAAGATAACCCCATCAAATCAATTTGATCCATATGTACAGTTTTATTTAAAAGTAAATCTAATTCTTTTTAACAATTTTCTTGCAAATTAAAGAGAAGTAGGACAGAGATTTCTTATGGCAAAAAAACTGATTTTATCAGATGTCTGATGTTAATTCTCAGGCTCAGTATACACAGAACTGAAACTCTAGATGGTACTCTTAATTGGTTCATGTGACTTGAACAAAATATTTGTTTTAGGTACAAGTGACAGTTCATACTCTTAGTTTTAGCTCTTCTATATAAACAAGTGCCAAAATAACTAAGATGACAACCATATGTCAACTGAAAAGAAATATTAAGGGTGTCAAATACTGTAGCATGGATTTCAAATCCCAGCTCTGCTCTCTTCTGAAAAAAACTGCACTATAGTTTCATGTGATTTAAAGAGAATCTTGCCAGTTATTTTCCCAAAGAGAAACAAGTCCATAAAACTCTGATTTAAATCTTTCACAATGGGCAACAGAAGAGAAAGCACTAAGGAGTCACTATCAACAGAATCGGAAGGCAAATTAAAAGGATACTATCATTCAAAGCCAACGGGGGCGGGGGGGGCGGTGCAATGGGAAATGGCTTTGGAGCAGAGATGAGACTGATTTGGGGGAAACCAGACGTCCCACACACGGCACAGCTCTAATTTCAGCTCTAATTTCGTAGGCATTTGTTCCCTAAACTAATATAACTTATCCCACCCCAAACAGTCATCACTGGCCTTTCCTGTCGAAGAGCGCTACTGCATTCGGAAACCAAGTCCTCCAACTACGAAAATGCTCTCTCTCGGTGGGCCGTATACAAGCTTCCCTCCCCTCAATTCCTGGAGCGCCCCCCCCCCCCCCCCCCACCCCTGCCCCCCCCCCCCCCCCCTG